TGAGGGGAGTTACGTATTGCCTAGATTGAATTTAAAATTTGTTCTTTTGAAAGGTTTTTATTTTATCACTGACTATTTTTCATAAATTACTTCTCTTTTAAATTCTCGACAGATTTAGCAACTTTCATATAAAATAGCTGCATTTGGATAATCATGTATGCCGTTTATACAGTATTCAAATAACAATGAATTCATCAATAATTTCACCGAAGTACTAGCGGGAAATTTCTCTGGTGCAATAAAATATTCGAAAAAGGATTCACTAATGCACTGCTGTCTAGTTTCTTTAACTGCTCCAGAATTGAATTTAATTGATGGCGGAATCTCTTCTAATTCAGCAGTTTTTAAACAGCCATGTGTGGTAAGACATGCTGCGTATATAAAAATTCTGCCTGACCTCAAAGTTTTAGCGAATATTATTTTGCTGTTCATCTCAAATCGATGGAAAAAGAAAGATTCCCTCGCAGTCTTCTTGAATAAAACACTTTATATCGTATGAATCAGAACCAGTAAACTTCTAGATGAATTCGAGATCTTCAAAAACAAAAATAAAGGGAAGGTCTGCTTTTTATTAGAAGCATTCGGTTATGATTCAAAGCCGAGACATTACAGAAGGGGAAAGAATGAAGTAGACATTTTTCTCCTGTCATCAGAAATTTCAGAGTCGTTGTATAACGATTTACAGCTTAAAGCTTGCAATTCATTTAGATTCGATAAAGATTGAAAAGTCTATTAAGGAGTTCTTCTTTACTACCCTTAGTATCCGGTGACCCTACCATGTTTATTACACAAACCAAATCTATTTAAAGAAAAGAATCGAATATTACTTACGATCTTCAACATTGAAATCATTGGGAAATGAGGAAAACTTCTCATTTTTCTTTGAATTACGATCAAATGCATCGTTAAATAATATACTGTTTAACAACTTACTATTTTAATATTTCTTTAAGAAATTCTTTTGACACAACAGGGAATATCATTATGGGTGATCATTCATATAGCTGAGAAGTTCAAGCAGCACAGTCACTGAATAAAACTTATTTTCATATTATAAATTGAAAGGTAAAAGAGAGAGGAGGTACTTACCTCTTTCAGCAGGGTATTCACATGGCATGACCAATTAGTAACAAAAACAAAACCAAGGTCTGTACTCATGTTGATTTTTAAATTTGCACAAGTCCAGATCTGGAATGGTGGGGGCATGTAACAACAACAATGTACTGGTAGTAAGTGCCGTCTGCACTTCCAGTTTCGCACAAATTATGGATTTTTCGTAACTTGGTAGTGATGGAAGTGCCGTCTGCATTTCATATACTCATGTCCAAAACTTTTCTACTTCTTAGGCGTACCGTCTGTACTCAGAAGAAATCATTTCCAACTTACGTCTCTACACTAGCGTCCATTTTTTGGGCGTCAGCCAAACCGTTAGCCTGTTCGCGTTCTAGTTGCAAGATTTCATTTTAAATTTTAATTTAACTTTAAACAGTGGTTCATTTGCCGAGCCCGAGCCCCCATTGTGGAGGTTGGCGTCGGTATATTGTCAAGAACCACGCTCATTTAAGGAGGAAAAATGTTTATTTACATACGAAAAATTAAAGAAATAGACGGACACGCATTTCTGCGTGCTTACACCTCGAGATCTAACCATCTAATCTAAGTTGAAGGTGGCGCTGCTGTAGCGCAGCGGGACAATTCCCACATTAGTATTCAATAGAGATCAGCTGATATCAATAAGTTCTACTTTTATTTGTTCTTCAAAAAAAAAAACTGCAGATTATCACTATTAAAATAAAATAAAACATTTAAAAAAGAAATTTGTTCCATGTAATGCTATTTTAAGAAATAGGTTTCGCCCCAAATGGACTATTTTTCTTTGCAATGTATTAAATAAAATTTATTTTAATTTAATTTATAATTCTACGTGATATATTATATAAAAACCTTTTTCTTGGCTTATAGCATCAAAAGAATATTAAAATTATTTGATCCCAAAATGTTCTAAGAAGGAAAGCAAATTAAAAAATAGGTTCGAAAATCTTGAGGGGAAAAAAGGCTGCCCCTCTACTATCTCAAAATTCCGAATAACTAATAATAAATTTATGAGATTCTCAACAATGCTGAATATTTTCCTTTTCTGTCACTTCTTGTTTCCTTGTTACATAAGATTTAAGGTAATGCGTTCGCTACACTTAAAATACTTAATTTATACAAATGTTTTATTTTGTCCAATGAAAAAAAAATGAGGTATTAATTTATTTATTACGACATATTTTTTGAAAATGAATTTCATTACCTTTATACGATGTCAATAAAACAATCATTCTCACACAAATTTTCTTCATCTTTAAGACTAGCTTTTCAGGGGGTTACGTGTCACGAGGAACAGTGAGATAAAGGTCATTTTTCCACGGATATGGGTTAATTGCAGGTGGTAATCAGTAGATAGGAAAAAGTTGGTGATATACTTGATGAGTTTGGAGGGTTTCTCAATAAAAAAACACAAGTGGGATTATATTAATATTTTTAAATAGTGCATATATTCTTCTACATTCAGCTATGTTAAGATTTTGGAACGTTTAGGGATTATTATAAGATAAAGAATGTCTGATCTCACAAAATTTTCATGAGGGTAAAGAAAGTGTTGGAATGGGTCCAGATGGTGCATCTGTAATCCGTAATTGCTGCGATTTATAGATATTTCTTAAGTCGTATTTTCCATAATCGAATCAACCATACCCCATATAAAAGAAAACATTTCTCCCCCTGTTCCAGCTTAAAGCAAACACACAGTTCAAAAAAGAGAAAATTGACCATTGGGTGTTAAAATAGATGGTTTTATCCCAAAAAAAAGTAGTTAAAAAGGACTTCAGAACTCAACCGGTATCTTCGAGTTCCACATATCAACTATTCCAATTTGAAGAAAATTGCGTAAAAATAAATTTATGGTATAGCAGCAATTCCTAAAGTACTTATGACTGATTCGAATGCTAAACATTTTGTGTGGTGCCACAAAATGAAAGACTTTCAATTCAAAATTTAATACACATTTGCGTGTTTCTTTCACTTTTTTAGTACCTCTTCAACTTGTTTTACAAATTTTTTAATATTTCTGGTAAATAAAATTCAAATCTTAATATTTGCAAGGTGTTATTTGCTCGCACACGTCATTTACACACGTGAGGTAATTCTGATCTCAAAATCACCAGATTAATACAATCGATGGGTCGGTAATCATCCCTCAATGCATTTCAACGACTTGTTTAAAAATTAGGTGACAAATAAATACTTTTTTTAGAAAATTCCCTTTCTTTTTAAGGGTAATTAAAAAAAAACATTTTTGTAAGAAAACCTTATAAAACATTTATTATTTAGTTTTTTTTTTATAAAAAACATTTATTATTTGGTTTTTTTATAAAAAAAATTTATTATTTAGTTTTTTTATAAAAAAACATTTAAGAAAATATTTTTATAAATCATATTTATCATCAATAACATAAATTTCGGTATGTGCCTATTATTCACAATCAGAATTTCAATTCTTGCATTGCATTTTATATTAAAACATATAAATAAATATTATATTTGATTTTAAAATATTAATGTACATCAAAAAGAAGAAAAATTAGGAAATCTTAATGCTAGAAAGTTATTGAATTTGAAATAGTATATAGAATTTACATATTCAGATATCTTTTTGCAGTAGCTTAGAATGAACGATACATTTACTTCAATGCTGTTGATTTATTTTTAAAACATACTCAACTTATGAATAAAGTGATTTTGGTTTCAAAACAAATAAAAAAGATCTATAATTCAAAGTATAAAATTACAACTGTTTAAATCATGAACTAGTATATAAATGTTGTAACATAATTATGTATGAGAAAAATAAAAAAAAGTGCTTATATACGAAGGATACTATAATTCAGAAATGCTTAGTCATGGTTTCACAATTCAGATTTATTTTCAGACGGCTTAGAATAAAGTGACTGGAATAAATATTGAGGCCTTTTTTTTTACATGTTAGAATCAACCAGCTTGAATCTAATGATTACATATATATATATCTATATATATATATATCTTTTCATGCTCTCTCTATATATCTCTTCTAATATATATATATATATAATAATATTGATATGTAGTATTGTGTGTGTGTGTGTGTATTATTGTAATGTGTGTGTGTAGTAATAGCATTGTGTGTGTATGTTATGTGTAGCCAATAAAAATATTTCCAATTTAGAAACACAAAATAAGTTTAATCAAAACATAAAGGTAAAAACAATTGAATAATCGTTCACTGTTTAAGATCATATAAACTTTTTAGAGCAAAAATAGTTTTAAACTTACATCACAAGTATATAATCAACCGCCAGAAGTACAGAATAGCTTAACTTAACGAAGTACATTTTAACAACTCAATTACACAAGAATGAAACAAATGACACATAAAATTGTACTAAGATTATTTCCTACCTAATTTTTTTTTTTTTTGAATAATGTAAGAAATATGATGATAACAAATACATTAATCGAAATAAAATTGATGTATAAATATATACAGCTAACTTGTAAAAAAAATCAGTCGAGATCCCGTGGTCTATTTTGATCAATGAGAAGGAATTACTAGCCTCAGGTTAGGAAACTCGCAGTTCAGTAACCAGAGTTAAAAACATAATAGTGAACTGTAGTTGCAACCAGCGTTTTACTTTTTCTTAACCTCGGTTTCTTAACTTTGGGTTTCACAGTCCGGTCTAGTTAACGGCGAATACAGCCGTCAATGATCCAAAAGTACGCAAGCCGGATAAAAAGAATAACCGTTTACCCGAACTCCGATGAAATTCTTCACTTAAGAACATTTAGAATACTGGGAAGAAATCACATAGTGTCAATACTGAACGCGATGCTTTAATTAAACTATCGGATTACATTCATCAGTGCCAGTTCTGTGTCGGCTGTCAAGCGCCCGCTGAAACGGTACAGTTCCACACACTTGATGCGTGTTCACCACCTTGCTGAGGTATTCCACGCGAGGTAAAACTCACAGTACGCACAAGCGAAACTTCGTGCTTCCCACCTCAGCTCGGCCCTCTGAGCCAATCCTTATTCCAAAGTTACGGATCAAATTTCCCGGCTTCCCTTACCTACATCATTTTATCGACTAGAGGTTGTTCACCTTGGAGATCTTCTGCGGTTATGAATACGGATTGCCTTGAAAATCACATTCTAACTCTCAGATTTGTAAGGGCCGGTAGAAGGGTCGCAGAGACTCTCGTGAAATGAGTTGTTCTTTCGAGCTCACGTCTCTATCTCAGCTCGACTCTCTTCCAAAGATAACCGAACATCTTATGAGAAACACTGTTCCCCGGTTCCCCCCCCCGGGGGGGGTCTCAGTTTGCGTTACCGCACTCAGGGTCGGAGCCTCAATCTACATTTCTGGGACTTTTAAACCGATTCCCTTTTGTTCGGCATCGATACAAATTCAGAAATCGATAAGGTCTCGTTTCAGAAATGGATATCTACTATCCATAAGGGTTCGACAAACACACGTTAAACATCTGTTCACATGGAACCCTTCTCCATTCTCAAGGTTCTCATTTGAGTATTTGCTACTACCCCCAAGATCTGCATCGACGGAGACTTAAGGCAGGCTAGCTCCCGTGCTTTCGATACTCTCCATCACCATCTCCTACTCACTGCCATCCGAAGTTCCTCACACAAACAGGAGTGCCATCCATTTTTAGAGCTAACTGTTTCATCAGGTAAGTTGTAACACTCTTAGCGGATTACAATTTCCATGGCCACTATCTTACTTTCGAGAGTAACAAACACCTTACATAGGATCTCGCAAGCTTCTCCAATCAGGCACCATAACCCAGCATTTGATTCATTCCAACGCGCCAGTTCTGCGTATTAAAAGAGGCCCACTGGGTACTCTCCTTCATCGTCCCGGCTTCACCGAGGCAAAGGGGACTTTCGACCATTGAACATTTGAGAAAAGTTAGCGGTCGTTTTGGCCCAAATGCTTCTGATCATTCGCTTTTCCAGAAAAGATTGAACTTCAGGGTGCCAGTTAGTCTGAGAGAACCAGCTACTAGATCTCCACTAGAGTTTCCTGACTTCGACCTGTACGGGCATCGTTTATTTTTCCGGTCACAACGTGTACTCTTAGACTCCGCTCCACCGTTATACAGCGGATGAGACAAGTCGTCGTTACGGTGCCTCGGTGATTTCCTCTTTCGGGCATAATTGTTGACCAATGACTCGTGCACATGCTTGTCTTCTTTATCCGTGTTTCACGATGAGTCCGGTGGGGACTTACATACACGCCGGGGTGTCAATTCTGAAGCGTGGAATCCTCCGTACCAGAGTCCCTGGACGAACCCAAATAAACCAGGGTAGAAGCTCCTAAAGGCATCTTCAGCACAGAAAATCGTTGGGTCGCGTGATGCAACAAAGACCGCAAACGAAGGTCCAAATAAACTGAAAAAGCTCCAATTTACCTTCACCGCTTCCTCCTCCATCGCGAACATCACTCGGAGGTTTAAATTAACCGGGAAAGATACCGGATGGGCAACACCAGGACACAAAACCGTCGGGTAGCGTCATGCAAACCGGACAGCAAGGGGCGGTCCAAATTCATCCGCCCGAACACCGAACACTAAGTCAATCCTTCAACACCGGGGACGCTCTGATTTCACCTTCATCGCATCCCCACAACATACCTTGATATGCACCATCAGTAATTTGTAACCGTACCGCATATGTACGGCAGATGTAGACTTTATCACAGACTACAAAGAAACAACTTCGTTGCCACTAACAAAGATTCAAACAATGACGCCGAAATTTGACCCAATCGGACCAAAGATACGAAAGGCCAGAGCAAAATATCCTATTCCTATGGCTTAAGCAGTCCTCGATCACACGAAGTCAAACAATTAGTTAGCGCGTGCGGCTTAGTCATTACAGTGACTACGTCAATGCTCTACTCTTCACGTGGGGAGAGAGGTGTCCTTTATATAGGGCGGTACAAAATGATACGTAGTTGGGAAACCACCTGCACTCCGAGATGAGAGGGGAAACCTAACGTTAATAATCGGAAAAAAATGAAAAAATTTTCCTTCTTCTGTGGTGTTTCGTCAAAGTGCTGTTTCTTTGGAGCTTTTGGCGTACAATTTTCATTGAACTGCGAAGTGATTTTTTATTTCCCCCTCCCCTTAATGTCCAAATTTAAAACAACGGAATACAGGGGAAAAAAATTGTTGCAGCAGAAAATTCAAAATATTCTGTGAACTTTATATATTTCGTTCTCATTTTATTTAATAAGCTTTATTCGGCTATATTACTGTCTACCTTTGTTTAATAATTATTTGTATGTTGTAATATTTCTACTTAAATATAACTAATCAAATGATATAAATATGCATATGTATAAAAAATTCCTCACATAGCTTTTTACGAATTGATTCCTCTTATAATTCAATAATATTCGAATAATAGGTAATATAGCACAAAAGGTTTGTTAAATAATATTCGATACATACAAAATGAAATCTAAATCAATGCATGCGATACAGTAAAACATCAAATAAAAATACTTCAAACAATTTACGAAAAAAAAAATCTTTCGCCGCAGATGCGGAAAATTAATTTATACCTTTTTGACGTACGTAAAGCAAAAACGGGAAAATGCTAAAGCCGATTTGTGTTTTGCTTATAAAAAATTGAACAGCACTACTATAAAATTGACTGCTATAAATAACAGTACTATAAATTAAATGTTGCAGATGGTGGCTCAAGTGTGGGATATAGGAGCAATAAGAGCTTCCATAAAACTGAACAAGCTTATTTTTAACAAAATAGCAAATCAAAAATAAATATATTATTAGGCTATCTCCGCCTTCCACAACATACACTTTGGCTTCTCGCCTGCCACTGTGCTTCGCTTACTAGCGTCTGTTCGCAGCCCAAAATCCCTATGGGAGACCGAAAACTGGACGAGTCTACTTAAATCGTGGGGATTATAGAAATTTCGCTGAGTTGTGGTATTTAGGGGATTTTCCCCTTTCGACTGAATTCTTATATTTTTATGAATTTCTAGATTACGTATTTTTTCGATACTGTCATCGTTTTTTATGTGGAAGAGCGTGATTCATCTTCAACATCTTCTCGGCCAAATTATCAATAGAGAAGGCTTATTGTTGAACAGTTGTTGGTCACTGGCTTTTGGTGCATGCATACTTGGGTAGCAGCATC